GCGGGCGGCGCGGCCGGCGGGGGCCCGCAGGCGGCCAGGCGCTCGGGCGTGCAGGGCGGGCAGCGGAACAGCACCTCGGCGCGCACGCCGCGGCCGCCGCCGGCGCCCAGCAGCAGCGGCAGCAGCAGCAGCGAGGGCGGCAGGAGCAGCGGCAGCGCGGGGCCGCCCAGTCTCGGCAGCATGTTGGCGGTGGTGAGCGCGACGGCGGCGAGCGAGCGGGCAGGTGGCACGGCCCTGCGAGCGCGGGAGCCGCCTCCTCCGCTTCTTCCTCCTCCCCCGCAGCCGCAGCCGGGTCCTAAAGGGCCCTGCTTCTCCCCGCCCCCTGCCTTCTCCCCTCCCCCTTTTGGAGACCACCCCCTTCCCCCGACACTCCCGCGCGCCGGCCCGTGAGTGCGCGCACGCCTGCTCGCCCACCCCCCGCCCCCCTGCGCTTCCCGGGCTCTGTGGGTCCTCTGCACAGCCACCACCACCACCACCACCACCCCCCCCTCCTTCCCTCCACACCCTTCTACTCCGGGCTCCCTGACTCCCGGGGAATGCGAATAACTTGGGGGTTTGGATAGGGTCGGCGCGGGAGTGGAGAAAAGTGGGTGCTTTTGTCTCCTGTTTTCAGTTCAGTTCGGAAGGACTTAGTTTGCGTGCTTCCCATGTGGCCGGCACTGGGCTAACTGCTGGGGCAACGCAAAGGACATAAGACATAGTCTTGACCTTCAAGTAGATTTCCATCCACTCCCACCATCTCCCTCCGTCCTCAGGGTTCCACTCAGTGCCGACGTGTTGCTTGGGGCAATGACTCTGGTGTTCAGTGAGTTCGTCCGAAGAAGAAGCAGGTTCCCATCCACTAGACCAGCCTAGCCTGAACAGCCCCTCTTAGTGACCACTGCAGTTTCCCAACCCTGCCAACATCTGGTAACATATAATAACCAGAAATGCAATTTGTGGGCACTGAGAAACCGGCTCCCTTCCTCTCTGCCTGACCTTCCCCAAAGTAATCCCTTAGTTGACCCCTCTCCCTGATCTAGAGGCATTTGCTGTAGGAGAAATCCCCAAACACCCTGCTTCAGGGGTCTTGGAGAGGTCAGATCAGACTTCCAGGTGTGAGAGGAGGCCCCGGGGAAAGGGCATTTATAGCTCTCTCTGATAATGCAGATGGACAAGGACAGCCTCCCTTCGTCGTTCTGTTTGATTTAAACTGAGTCATCTCTCCTTGCTGCCCCCAACCCCCAGCATTCCAGGCTGGACCAGGCCTTAATTATCACCCATGTCTCTAGGTTGTGACCCTAACAAAGACCCTTGTCAGAGAGATTCTCTTGACCAGGGATGCACTGTTCAGCTGACTCCAGCCTAGGTTTAATTTCCCAGTACCTCTGCCAAACTTCTCCCTGGCCAGAGCCCTCCACACCAGCTCTAACTTTAGGATTCAGAGCTATTTGACTGAACTCGACAGCTGCTTGCCAAGTGGCCACCTGGTCCTGGAGATGAGTGAGACGCCCCAAGGAAGGCAAGTTCCAGCTTAAGGAATTAACGGTGTTTGGGGTGAAGATTTCGGTAAGATGAACAAACAACTAGTTTGTCAGAGGCTTGGAGGAGGAGAAATATTTAGATGGAGGGAGAGGGGATGAGGGTTGGGGGGGTCATGGGTGAATCAGAATTGAAATCTGAACTTAGAAATCTACCCGGGGAAACGCAGGGATAGCAAAGACACTGGGAACAGAGGGACCGGCCAAAGCAAGGACAGGGAAGTGGGAAAGGAAGGTTGGAGAAAGGAAGTCCACTTTGGCCAGCAGAGTGCTTGGGGGTGCGGGGCACTGGCAGGAAAGCCCTGTTGACTTGTGAGGAGGTGTGGCTTCATTCAGTGGGCAGGGGATGCAGCGCCCACGTTTGAGCAGAGGAGTGAAATAGACGGAGCTGAACTTCTGGAAGTCTGTAGAGCTGTGTCTAGTGCAGATCTGACAGAAGTAAAAAGAGACAGTCGTCTCTCCCCCTGGGTGTGCCCTGGCTCCTTGTGCCGCCTGGTAATGTTTGTTCCTGTTGTCCTCACCCACTAGGGTCTGAGTGCCTTCAGCATAGGGACAGTGCCTAGCGTGATGCGTTCCAGTGGAAATCTAATGCAAAGCACAAATGTGAGCCACGTGGGCAATTTTTAAATTTCTAGTAGCTGCATTAAAATAGAGTAAAAAGAGATAGGTGAAACCCATTTTAATACTTTATTTAACTCAGTATATTCAAAATATCATCTTAATATGTAATCAGTATAAAAATTTTTAATGAAAGATTTAGCATTCCTTTTTTCATACGAAATCCTCAAGCTCTGGGGTGTATTTTATGCTTAGAGCACATTTCAATTTGAGCTAGCCAAAAATTCAAATAATACCCACAGGTGGCTAGCTGTTACCATGTGGACAGGGCACAGGTCTAAAATTCAGTGCCTGGCACCTAGTAGGCACTCCACAATTACGTTGAATGAATAAATGAGTGAATGAATGAAAAGTACTACAACTACCCTGTGCAGTACTTCTCACTCTCCATGGTGATGTCCAGCAGAGGGGATAGGAGAGACCTTCGTTCACTCATTCATTCTGCTACTCATGGGCCATTTGAGACTCATTCTCTTTCCAGCTCTCTTTCAAGTTCTTCATCTCTTTCTTAGCCAAGAACTCTGGAGATGAACAAAGTGAGGCTAACTTGACAAATGCAAAATATTCGAGATTTCTCCTGAATGAATCTGATGGCCAGACCCCAATTCTTTCCTCCTAGTTCCCTGGGGAAGAGTTGGCTTTTATCGCCCCTCCCCCTGTACCCATGGCCACCACCACGAACCCCATATTTTTAAGGGCTAACCCCTGTGGGGTTCGGAGTTCTACTCCAGATGGCTATCTGCCATCAGAAGCCTGGACAGGTGGAGGGACTTGACCCACTGTTTTGTTCTCTAACTGCAGGCGCAGGGCTTAGAACAGTGCCTGGCACTCAGAGGCTCGATAATTATTTGTTGAGTGAACCCAGGCTCTCTCTCCTCCTCGTCCCTGCTGTGCCCACTGTTTCTGGAGCATACCTTACTTTAAATTGCTCATAAGTCCTCTATCAAGGGTATGTGCTTAGGCCTGAGAGCCTAGACCAGGCAGTGGGGACTTGTTGAGAGATGGGGACAGGCTGAAACTGGTTTCCTCCCCTCCCCCTAATCCCTGCCTTTTTCCATTTGAAAAGTGTTTCACAAACTCCACCCTCAGGAGGTTTACCTTAACCAAGTACCACCTGTACTATTATTTATGTAATATTTATTTTAATGTGAAGTCAGATCTCTTTTTTTTTTCTTGGCAGCTAAAAGCTATTTTAAAATAAACGTTATATCACTACCATAAATGGAAAACCAGGATTGATGGCCATATATAGATGGCAACCGTAAAAATAAACACAATGAAAACAAAACAATGCCTTTGCATTCAAGCTGGATACTGTTGCCCACTGAAGCCTCAGAGTCTGGCATATTCCTCTGGTTAACAAAAGATGAGCCAGTCTAAAGAGAAGTTTTAAAGGCAAGCCAGACCTGAGGTGAAATTTATCTCCATTAAGTCATCAGATGTAGAAATATATTTTTTTAAACATTGTATTGAAATGTACTATTCATGCAAAACAGTGTTCATACCATAAACTGGATAAATGTTCACAAATTCCATATAACAAGTACCCACCCAAGTGAAGAAAGAGAACACAGAGGTGCCTGGGTGGCTCAGTCGGTTAAGCGTCTGCCTTCGGCTCAGGTCATGATCCCAGGGTCCTGGGATCGAGCCCCGCATCAGGCTCCCTGCTCTGCAGGAAGCCTGCTTCTCCCTCTCCCACTCCCCCAAAAAGAAAAGAAAGAAAACATAAATAGCACCCAGAAGCCCCCTTCACACCTCCTTCCAGGTATTACTTCCAGCCCCCCATTATCCTGACTTCTAACATGGATGAGTTTTGCCTCTTTGCATCTCACATAAACGAAAACATACAACAGACAGTCTTTTTGTCTCTGGCTGATTTTGCTCCACATCATGCTGGTGAAATTCTTCCATATTCTTGTATGTAGTTAGTTATTGGTTCCTTCTTGTTGTGGGATAGTGTTCCGTGCTATGACTATACCGCGGTTTATTTATCCGTGGTACTGTTGATAGGCATTTAGATAGCTTCCAGTGTTTGACTCTTCTGAACACAGCTGCTGTGAACCTTCCAGAGCATGCTGTTTGTTGAGCATGTGCACACATTTCTGTTGCAGCTCTGCTAGATATGGAATTTCTGGGTCATAGGGTATACATGTGTTCAGCTTTCGTAGATAAAGGACAGGCAAAAAGTTCTGCAAAGTCAGTGTGTGCATCTCTACTGCTATCAGCAATGTATTTCTCCCTATCCTGGCCAACACTTGACATTTCCCATCTTTTCTCAACAGAACCCGATCTGGTGGATATATAGTTGCATCGCACTGCGGTTTTATTTTGCAGTTCCTGGATGGCTGAGGAAATTGAGCACCTTTTAAATGATATAATGGGATGAATTTTAAAAGAGAATCGTATCATACCATGTTATGTAATGTCCTGCCCATGTGTCATGATTAAACACCATGAGTAACACCTAAAACCATCTTGGCCACACCAGGTGCAGACATTTTTATTATGGAAGTCTTGTTTTAGTTTTATTTGTTTCAGGAGGAAGAAAAGCAGCAAAAAAAGGGAGGGGGTAAGAGTATTGCTTGAGCAGAGGAAGCGTCCTCTGCTCTCTGTCCACACCCCTGGGAGTCGCCACAGACCAGAGTACCTCTTTCTTGGTGAGTCCCGAAGCAAAATGAACAAGCGTGAGGACATCTGGTTTTTCTGATCCCATGCCATGGTTGGAAGCCCCATCATGAAAATTTGAGGAGCATAGCTGTGGAAAAGATAAAAAATGAAAAATGTGCTCGGAGGTAAGTCAGAGGCCAAGGCTGCATGCTTCATGGTGATTTCCTGAACCAGCCTCATGCACCCGGCCAACAGCTGGACCGCATCACCATCATCATCTTTGTCCTCGGAGCATCTTCACCACATGCCTCTGCTCAGAGGCTGGCTTAGGCTCCTGGATAGCCCTGCCCTCTAGAAGGTACAGACTTGGGCTGGGTGACTTTAAAGTAACCAAATGGAGAGAACACTAAAGAAAATCAGAATGGGAATGTGAGCACCGGAGGCTGGCGGAGGAGTTAAGAGAAAGGGCTTGGCGCCAGAGTGGATGCACGTCCAACCTCTTCCCTCACTGGCCGTGTTGTTTGGGGCAGGTTATTTTACCTCTCTGGGCCTCAGTTTTCCCATCTGTAATAAGGGGAGGATAA